AAACACATATTTTTCTATACAAGTGTTCATTTGAACATAGGAGCCTTCCAAATTATGTACATATATATCCTGTCCACAGCTCTGCTTCATTTCATACTGCACACTCTGACACTGTATTGCAGAAAAACTCTTTTGTTTTCTGCTTTTGTACATTTGGATGCTTCTATCTATTCCCATAAATGTTTGGGATGTCACCCTCACCCATCCACATAACACCCATAGACTTATTTAAATCCCTCTCTTTGTGCCACTTATTCCTTGTCTCTACAAGAGCAATAGCTTCTAGCAACAGCTTGATTGAAGTGTCAGACATTAAAGAAACAGGTAGAAAAAAGTGCTCAAAAAACACTCCTTATGTTTTAGGTAATTAAATAAAAGGGCTAAACTGAGGCAATAAAATAAAAGAGAAAAAAAAAGAGCTTCATGAGTCATTATGACAACTTTGTAGTAACATCTTGCTTTTCCTGTCAACATAGTTTTTAAAGTCTCATTTCAAGATTTAATAGGACAGCTGATTCTGATTATAAACTTGTGTTATAGGAACTAAGCTTCTCTGAATTCTTGAGAGAGACTGTTTAAAAGTGATGAAGTTCAGATTTCTGTTCAGATAGGTGTGGTGTGGTCTGTAAACTCAGTCCAAAGTGAACTGGAGGCACAACTGAAACACAAATCCTTTCTCAAGATTCCTATTTGAAGGATGTTGCTACCCCTAGTTCTGATCTCAGCTTCAAACCAGGATCTAATTATCTGGACATGTCAGGACCCACTGCTCTCATTTTGTTAATGAGGGCTGCCCTGCCCCGAGCAGCACGAGCACTCAGCAGAGGGACAGGGAGGCAACCAGAGGCTTTCACTAGCAGGAGGCAGCTGACTGGTTTTGGTGCAGTGTTAGTGATGGAGGTGCTGTTTCTAAAGTTGCCACGGCCTTAGAAGTGCAGAAAAGGAGATAAATCCCGGGGCAAACCAGGAGTACAACCAGCTGGCACAGTCTCAGGGCTAAGGCTTCTTCCACAGGCAGAACCACACTGCCTTGTCCATGGACAGGGATTAGCCCTTACTGTCCCAAATAGCAGCTAAGGCAGCCCAGTCTAGACTTGACTTTCTGCTCATTAACCTACTGATTCCTGAAGGACTGGAGCTCATTAACTATGGAGTTTTGCTTTAAAAGTTATACTCTTCCTAGCAATATTTTTATTCTTGCCTATATTTTACTTAGGTTTAGATTTATGTATTTAAAATAAGAACGCATCTAAGCAATTGTGATTTCTTTTTCTTATGTCCAGTAATATCTTAAACATTTTCCTATGTAAGTATTTTTCACTCTATAGCTCCTGGTACTTAAACAGATACAGGGGAACAAGATCTCATTTGTTCATCAGTTCTTACCTTCTCCCTTACCTCCTATTTCTTAGGACAATAAAGTTAATCTGGGGATTCAACTCCATTTTGTTTTCCTTTTTGGAAGAGTAATAGACTTGCTTACTTTTGTTGAATAAAATTGCCTGTCTTCAAACACTTGTACTGAGACCTGCAGAGTAGGTTAAGGAGCATCATCTTACCACTTGTACAAGTGCAATAATACTATAAAAATACCATGATACAGAATGCAGCATTTAATAATACCAATTTGCAACAATGGGTATAATTTTTCACTCAACAGTTTTCCCTCTGTTATTGCCCTAGAAATAACTCAGTCTAAAAATATGAATTTCAGTGGACAATGCACAAGGATTTGCTTTATTCAGATTCCACCTATATCTGTGCCTTAGTATGGGCCCTCCAGTGCACTGCTCAGTTCTGTGAGTCTTCTCTTCCATCATATTTCATTGCATATGTCACTGTAGTGTGGTAAAATAATCTAGTGGCAGTGGGTGTCTTACTAAAAAACCCTTATTATAAGTGGTTCCTCATGACCATAAAATCTCTAACACACAAGGTGATGGTACAATTAACAGGTATTAACTTCAGAGGGAAATCACTCAAGTTTGGGAAAGATACAGGTAATGCCTAACTTTCTATCCTTCTATGCCTATTCTATCCTTAGAATATAAACACTTGTGTATTCTAAAAAATCCAACACTTTTCTCTTGACTGCATAGACACAAATATATCTAACATTAAACTAAGCATATTCTCTCTCTTTACCCAGTTCGAAATGACCTTTTTTTTATGATGTAGAAATGGTTATTATTATTCAAGAAAGAGGGGATAAATATATTCTTAATATGTCTAATACTGAATGCCCAAGAGCCAAGGTGATTCACTAAGCAGAGCATTGTCCTCCTAGAACTCATACTAACTTCAGTTCAGTTACCTGAGACAACCTTCAGCTACAAAGCCGAAATTTTATCAAAGTACCATGAGTTACGTGTGAGTCCCACAGAAGATCTACATCCTCCTACTGAAATATTAGACTGTCTTTTGCAGAGCAGTGTGCCTTTTCAGTGCAGAATGAATCTGAGGCAGAGGGAATTGCTGCCATTGGAATCTGAAGGCTATGTATATGTATTTCATGTATGCAAATTCCTCATAAGGAACCAATAACTGCCTGACAGAGAAAATGACATTATTACACTAAACAACCAGAGGCTGTTCTCATTCACACAGAGGAGAAGCCAAGCCAGCCATGGAATACTTGAAACCATGTCTTGAAAAGAAGTGCAGACTCAGGAGGAATCCTGAGTCCTAACCACCCTCTGAACCACGAGTGAGGAGAGGGAGATGGCCAGGCCCAGGAATGCTCCATCAGGAAGTGCTTGTGGTTAAAACCAGAAGCAACCACATGAATCAGAGGCTTTAGGAGACAGTTAGACGACACTGATTGAAAAAAATATTAATGCACAGAAAAGAGAAAACCAAGAAGGATTAAAAGGCCCCAAAAGATCTGTGTACATTTGAATCTGGTTTCAGGAGAGTAGAAAAGTAAAACCCAAATAACTAAAAATTTACATATCCTCTAACAGTGAAACTTTCTTCCTGTTTAAAAAAAACTGTTAAAATCTCAATTTGGTCTTCCTTTGCCATCTAGAAGCTTTCTCTTACACAAACAAATGAATGAAACACAACACAAAAATACATTTCATTTTCTTCTACACACCCAGTAAATGATCTCTTAATGACAAACCCCAGAATGTGACACTTTCAGCCTTGCACAACTCCAGGGATGCCACTGCAGCTATCAGTGATCATCTGTAATGTTCCTCTCAGATGTCAACAAGTAGAATTTAATAAAAATATAAAAATGAGTAATATTTCAACATTAAACACGAGGAGAAAAGTAGTTTTAATTATCCTACAAATGATTGCATTGAGTAGGCAGGAAAAGGTTTCCTGCATGTGAACCATCGCATGGACTTAAGAAAACGATGGAGCTCACTCCTAACTGCTGTCTCAGCCCTTACCTTCAACAGTGAACAGACACTGCCATGAGAAAACCTTGTGCTAGGAAGTAGTGATGCAAAGGAAAGCACTGCAAAACAAAACAACGTGATTCTAATTTGTCCTTGCCAGCAGTGTAGTACACACAATCGACAACACTTTTTCTCTGGAATTAGATCAAAGCACTGAAGACACACTGTTAATTTGTGGGAATGCAGCACATCTGCAGATGATTAAAGAGATGCTGCCACTTACCATGTGAAATGAGGAATTTTTCTTCATACTTAAAAGAACTCTTTCCTTCCAATCCAATCTGTAAGTCTAAAATGCTCCTTAAAAAGAGTTCAAATGGCTCAGGAGGAGGGAACATTGTGCCAACAGATATTGAGCTTTGAAGCTGTAGGCATCTGCATCATGGTGATTATTACATCTTGTTTGCTCTGCTAATAAGTGAGGGAATGGGACTGACCTCCACCTAGCTAGGTTTCAATCTAGACTTCTTATTCCTTTTCTTTACAAATGCTGTTAAATAGGATAAAAATTAGGTCAATCTATGAAAGAAATGGGGGGTTTGGGGAAAAAAGCATGATTTTGATGCCAAGAATTTTCCTCTGCCTCAGTTTGATATTTTTTCAGTGAACAGGCAGTATGATGGTTTCACTGTAAGAGTGGTCAAACCCTGGAGCAGGGGTTGAGGGAGGCTGCCAAATCTCCATCCTTGGAGATACTCAGAACTCAGCTGGACACAGCCCTGAGCAGCCTGAATCAAATTGAGTGGGAGTTTGGACTAGACCTCCTGAGGCTCCTTCTAACCCCTTCCCCTTCTAACCCTCATTCCACGAAACATCATGCCTGTTTCTTACTAATTTTGATAGAATAGTTCTTTTCATCATGACAAATGAAAACAAAATAAAGAAGTCTGAGAGCTGCCTTGCACTGCAGAGTATTTCATGGTCCCTATCATACCTCAGATGCAGATGTCCTTGCACAGATCCACCTCTGCCCAACTGT